GGCAGGCGCAGTACTTTGTGCTCTCAGATGCTCACTCTCTCACTCTCCCGCTCTCACCCGCCACTTTCACTCACACTCCCTCACACTCCCACTCTCACTCTCACTCGCACTCACACTCCACTCTCACTTGCACTCGCACTCACACTCACTCACTCTCACTCACACTCATTCTCATCCACACTAACTCTCACTCACACTCACTCTCGCACTCCCTCACACACTCACTCACACTCACACTCACTCCCACTCGCAGACTCTCTCTCGCTCTCACTCACACTCCCATGCACACTCACTCACCCCCACTCACTCTCACTCTCTCACTCTCACTCTCACTCACTCACTCACTCACTCACTCACTCTCACTCACACTCGCACTCACTCACTCTCACCCAGACTCACCCACACTCACTAACACCCACCTTCACTCTCACTCACGCTCACTCACACTCACACTCACTCTCACCCACACTCACTCTCACCCACACTCACTTTCCCACTCTCACTCACACTCACACTCCCTCTCACCCACACTCACTCACACCCACCTTCACTTCATCACCACCATCACCTCTCTGGACCCCAATACGTCTAGATCTCTAGACTTTCTGCTTACAAACCTCTCACACACACACACACTGTTTGGGGTCTCTTGCCGGCATAATCAGATGCCTGATGAAGAAAAAACATATTTTAACAAAGGTGTTACTCCGTCCCCATGTGTGGACCACCATAGAGGGCGCCAGCATGCAAGGACCACAAAGAACCCTAGGTCAGCCTGCGCGCCATAGACAGCGCCGGCTGCACCAAAGAGGGGCCCAGCCCAGGCGAGAAAAGCCAGAAAAAACATCCGACGATGGCAAATAGAACGCCAAGAGATATGCCAATATGCCTGATAGAACGCCGGCAGGTATGCCGGAAAGGATAGAATTCCAGATTCTGCCAGAATATGCCGGTTAGAGTTACGCCAGATATGAAGATATGACGGTTAGAATGCCAGAAAGTTTGCCAGATAATATGCCAACAGATGTGCCGGATAGAAAGGTCAGAAGATGCCGGGTAGAGTGCCTTAGCATGCCGGAAGGTATGCCAGTTAGAATGTCAGAAGAGATGCCTGAATATATGGCGGGTAGAATGCCGAAAGGATGTCAAAAGTATGTCGCACGTCGATAAGTTTGCCAAAAAGGAGAGTATCAAATCAAACGTCAGCAGCGTCAGAGCGTATGCCGGAACAAGCGGCAGGCTTGATGGCAGAACAAATGTGGGAACACATGTCATACGTCATGGCAGGACACAGGCCACAGGCCAACAAGAGCGTTAGAACATGTTCCAGAATATTTTGGAGCCTTTATGATAGATGATGTGTCAGAATATCAGAACTGATACCACAACTCACGCCTCGTTTCTCAGATATAGACATGTGTTTGTCTTCCTCCAAATGGCCTCTCAGGGTCGGGTCTCTCCCGAAGTAAATTCATAGTAAAACGATGTTGCTCGCCTCTGTGGCGAATTTACCACGTCATAAAGTCATCCCGTTCCATCTTCTGTCATCTGCTACCTGTTTTCAAGTGCCGGAATCTCTCAAGTACTGAGAAGTGGACGCAGTAGTCATCTTCGAGCGACTCCACCCGACCTAAGGTGTTCGTTCATGGATTGCAGATGATACGTACTGTCTTACCGAGTTTTCTCAAGGCGGGAGGAACATCAGGTCACACATCGGATTGCTGCGACCTTCCAGTGGAAAACTGCAGAAACACGATGAAACACGTAGTGACCCATTCAAACTTCACAACATTGGCGGATTTAATGCTGCATCTATTGATAGATATTGATAGCTATCTACTGAAATATCGGAGGTTCTCTGTCTTCAAGCCTGGGGACTGCCTCAGCCAGTCTTTGCTACTCTGTCATGCCTAGGGCCCCTGCCTTGAATCTCAAGGCCACCATCTCTGCGAACAAAGGAAACCAAGGCCAGCGGCCCCAAGAGACATTCCTTGGCAAACGGTTCCTTTCATTTATCACCCAGTCTTGAGGCCTTTGGGCCTTTGCTTTATTACTCCTGGTAGAAACTAGAAACGTATACAACATTTCACTCAACGTCTATCCAGCCAGCATTGCAAATGACAAGATACGCTTTCTCGTTCCTCGGCAGAGTTTGCTTGGAGCTCATCGCCCAGTTGGACGTTGCCCAACCACCTGCGGTCCCTTGGACGTCCCAGGTAAGTTGTTACTCAAGTCCCTCCTAACCCCTTCTCTTTCCTCTTATCTTCTCTCTGGAATCAAAACTGCGCACGCAAAACCGTATATTGGGAAGTGAATTGATATGATACATTAGGTGGACATGGTCTGGTAAGTGCTGTGACGCACGGCGCACGCAAAAAATCGTGCACACACAGGGTGACAATGCAAAATGCAAAGAAAACTTCAAGCAACGAACAGAAAGCTGGCCGTGCATTTTGTTGTACTGTAAGCGGAAGCTGAAGGTTCAGTTATGAGCGGTTGATAGCGGTTGCACAAGGGAGCCGCGTCAAGGCATGATCAGCTGTAGTGGGGATGCCATGGCCTGCTTCAAACTCACTGCCACGACAAACCCACAAGCACATAACCACCGCAAATCGCAAGAAACACCGGTCTCCATTGTATCACTGAGTCGACTGTCGTCTTGCGTGCTGATTTGCATTATATAATTTGTTTTTGTTCCTATTGCTTGTTGGATTGCTGTTGTTGGATCACCTTTAACTTTGCCTTGGTTCCCATGTCTAATCGTTTTCTCGCGGCCGGTCTTGCACCCGACAGCACCCAACGTTCAACTGTCACCTGTTGAGGAAGGGCCGCAAAAGTTGCAGGATGGCAGTGGAGTTCATGATAAGCTCCTCAGCAATGTGCAAGCCGGAACTTGATGGAACTTGGTATGGGCGGCCCACACTTGCAAGAACTCCCTAGCTCTTATTGTAGATGCACCCAAGAATTATATTACTACTACTAGTACTAGTACTAGCTGCTACTACTGCTGCTACTGCTACTGCTACTGCTACTATTACTACTATTACTACTACTACTACTACTACTACTACTACTACTACTACTACTACTACTACTACTACTACTACTACTACTACTTACTACTACTTACTACTACTACTACTGCTACTACTACTACTACTACTATCCAACCTTCAACAAACAACTAGCAAAAAACACACATTGGTACACTGAAATCCACTTGATTGACTACGTTTCGACATGACTGTTCGCGTGTGGCGGCCAACACAGCAAACCCGACTTACAGTGACCCTTCCAACGAGGCTCAGGTTGGTTCAGGATCTCGCTTGGAACATGCTCGTTGGTGAGGTGCATCAGCAGTTTGTCACCTTGAAGGATGCTTGAGCATTCACACGCACACCAAACAAAAAAAACACACATTGAACACTTGCAACTGTCTGCCAGGACACTGAAGTGATTACAGTTGTGCGTGAACGAATCATAGTTGCCCTTGTGGAAGTCCGGGCCTAAACATCGACTGATATAATCCACCACCTCCTCCTTGCTCTTGTATGAATAGCCTCATCTTGGCTGCTTCTTGCTTCTTGTAAGTTTCAGGGTGTTCTATTTCTCTGACCTCTAACCGACTCGAACTTTCATGATAAGAACGCAACGTGTACTGCCATTGGCCATTGCTATTCAACCACAAAAATAACTAGCGGCATTAATTGCAACATAAAATCTATTGTGGAGAGACAGCGCAAGTTTCTATAATATATATATATATATCCCCCTTAACATACAGGGGTAGGGGTCCTGCTTGAGATTTTATAGATATAAAATGGTGAGGTGGCACGTGGTCACGTCTATGATTTGGCGAGGTCATACGTCCTCTGGACCATACAATGCGGTGATTTTGGACGTGCATTTAAGCCTGTTAGAATGACCCCGTCTACGTACGAGTGTCCGTGCTCACATCCGTTCAAGAAGTGCGCTGTGATTTTATAGAGTCAATATCCACGGAAACGGATCGGAAACGGAACCCGACTGGATCGGGAAACCAACAGGCAGCAAAAACATGCAAACACATGCGACCCCTCTCAAAGCGCCGTTGACACTTCGCCCGCCGATCTATATTGAAACACTGTGATGTTTACTTGTATATATACATTTGTAGACTATGGTAGACTGTTGGTACATGTTACATGTAAACACATGCCTTAACCGGTTTTATTCTAATTCGATTATAATGTATTAAGACGTATTAATTATGGATTATTCTTAAATGTCTATAAGAGACATAAGAGAAAAAGACAAAGTTCTCCATCACTTGCAGCGTGGGCCGGCGAGTTGCAGATCACATCTATACAATCAAGCGTCCAAGCCCCCTAAGCAGTTTATATAATAACGGTCAATTCTCTATAAATTCATGATAGTATAGACGACCATTTAGGTCAACACCAAGTCTGTATAGAATCATAAGCTCTGAGGTATAGAGGCAATCTGATTCGTATGACAAGTTCCCGACAACAATAATTTTCTATGAAATCACAGGTCGTGTTGTGATGTTCGGATATTTTTGGAAAACATCTTGTCTATAAATTTGGGGGTGAACCACCATGTAAAAACTATATGAAACCTTGTCGTCTCTATGAAATCAAGGGTGAACCTCCCCCTTTATATGTATAAAGCCGTTTTATAGGGGGGTGGACCCCCCTGCTTTCATACTGGGATAAGTTAAGGGGTATATATATATAACATTAACGTCCTGACACATCCAAGCCTTTCATTCACCATACGATTATTGAATGTCCCTCTTGTTTTCCCCAAACAGTGTGGGCACACTGAGGGGTTCTTAAAGCAGCTGTTGCTTAGATCGCTGAAGCGCGCGGGCGGGACCGGCTAATTCGCTGCTAGTTACAGTACATTCATGCCTCTCGACATCGTCAATGTGCATCTCGACTGCGCAGGCTCGCAAAATCTGAAGGCCCGCGACGGGTGCTTCTAGCATCTTATAGCGACTGCGCTCTTGTTGTGGTGCCGCGCGCATTTTCGCACATGGTGGTCACTTTTCGTGGCAGGCGCAAGGGAAACCTGGCGTTTTGGTGCTCCAAAGCCGACTTTTCGACGATAGGTGCACGGGATCGGAGGGGTTTACTTCGAAATGCACTTTTCGTGGCAGGTGCAGCCCTTTGGACATGGTGGTGATCGTCGAGGAGCTCAGATTTCGTGACAGGTGCAGTGAATCGGGACTTTGCACGCGTGACTCGTTCGCAGATTTCGTGGCAGGCACAGCACTCTGTGACCCTCGATGCGCAGATTTCGTGGCAGGTGCAGCACTTGGTGAACCTCAAAGTGCAGATTTCGTGACAGGATGTGACAGGTACAGCACTTTGTGAACCTCGAAGTTCAGAGTTCATGGCAGGCACAGCACTTGGTGAACCTCAAAGTGCAGATTTCGTCGCAGGTGCAGCACTTGGTGAACCTTGAAGTGCAGATTTCGTGATTTCGTGACAGGTAAAGCACTACTTTGTGAACCTCGAAGTGCAGATTTCGTGGCAGACACAGCACTGGTGAACCTCGAAGTGCAAATTTCGTGGCAGGCGCAGCATTTGGTGAACCTCAAAGTGCAGATTTCGTGCGCTTTGGGACCCTCAAAGTGCAGATTTCGTGGCAGGCGCAGCACTTGGTGAACCTCAAAGTGCAGATTTCGTGGCAGGCACAGCACTTGGTGGACCTCGAAGTGCCGATTTCGTGGCAGGCGAAGCACTTGGTGAACCTCGAAGTGCAGATTTCGTGGCAGGCACAGCGCTTGGTGAACCTCGAAGTGCAGATTTCATGGCAGGCACAGCACTTTGTGAACCTCGAAGTGCAGATTTCGTTTCAGGCACAGCGCATGGTGAACCTCGAAGTGCAGATTTCGTGGCAGGCGCAGTACTTTGTGCTCTCAGATGCTCACTCTCT